TTGGCAGGGGAGCACTCGGGACAGGCGCGGGTCGGACACACAGAACCACCGGCGTCCGGAGGGGCACACGCACGCGGAGGGAGGAGAAACAGACCCTCGTTCGCAAAAACCCGGGACGCACTTAGACAGTAGGGGCACTCAGACCTGAGGCTGACGCTCCGACACACCTGGAAGAGTCCCCTCTCCCTTGCCCCCAGCTGTGCGTCTCCCCAGCGAGGGGAGCCTGTCGCACCGCGGTCGCTGCGAAGCCAGAGCCCCAGGTTGGGCGGCTGCGGAGCCGCGCTGTTTTCACCCTGGCCTGGGCCCGCAACCCTCTTCCCGCGAACCAGAGTCGGCAGGCTCCGCAGCTCGTCCGGGTCTCAACCGCTGCTCGGTGCTGGGGCTCAAGCGAGCCCCCCCACGACGTAGTCCCAGGATAGGGGTGCCGGGAGGCGGCTGTGGCCAGGCATGGTGAAAGAAGAGAAAGACATTTCCTCTGAGAAGTGGGGGGTACGTGGAGGTGTGGGGAGCAGTTCAGAGGCGCTTGGGGGAGGGCGGGTGGTCGACTGGGGTGAAGGCGCACACGCAGGGAGCCCTGTCATTTCTCTGCTTGCTGTGGGTATGGCCTCTCTCTGAACTCTGACCCGGGGACCTGCTCCTGTGTGTGGGGAGCCCCGCCGCCTGAGGTTCGTCCCCGCAGGTCTCCCGATCTAGAATCTCCCGCCTTCCGCCCGGGCCAAGGGAGCCGATCGCTCTGGAACAGGCGGGGATCTGGGTGAAGAAAAGGGTCCAGAGATGCCCCGGCTTCGGCCAAACAACTGTCTCCCCCACCCCCCATCCCCGAGCTGCAGCCGATGGCGGAACGGGAAGAGGGGGCGGCTGCGCGGGTCTCGCAGCTTTCCCGGAGACTGGCAAGGTTTGTGAATAGAATTAGAGAAGTGTGCGGGCGTGGTGTCCCCCTGCCCGGCTGAGGCCGTGCTGTGCTCGCAGAATTCACCCGGCAGGAAGGCCGCTCCGCGTCCCGCCTCCTGCTCGCTCAGCGACGCTCTTCGCCACTTTCGCGATTGACTTCATTATATTCTCAAAACCATCTGATAGCTGTCGTTTTCCCCAAGTTGAGAACAGCACGTCTACGGCGACCATAAGGAGGCAAGGGAGGAGCCATAAAGGGAGGGACACCACTGAGAGCCAGCAACACATCACAATAAACATGCAACAACTCCCTGGTTGTCTGGGCATTTTGGGGTGGACCCCCCCTCCCAACAGGCACCCCCAAAAGCCTCCTTCCAGTTGTTTCTTGGCTGCACGAAGGAGGTAGTGAAATAGTAAGGCAGAGGAAGGAGAAGGCCAGACCCTACTAGGGACACTGTAGCCAAGGCCCACAGAGTCTGTTGCCTTCTGCTTCTTGGAGGCTTCAGCCGTCGGTGCTGAAGCATAGGTTTTCCTTGGAGGGAAGTGACAGAGTCATCCAGATAGCAAATGTGACCGGAAGGCTTGGAAGAGGCTGAGCCCACAGGTGGGAAAGGCTGGTGCCAACGGAGAAGTGCAGAAAACGAAAGGCATTCCCAAGGTCCCGGTCGAAGGTCTCCCAGCCCCCAGTTCACCTACTTCTGGCATTGTTCAAGACAAACTGGCCCTTCTAGATTTACACTAAAACCTTGGGAGGGATGAGAGGTTCCCAGAAACACCTCTCCTGAGCTTGGTAAGGGGCTAAGCAGAGTTATTTGAATAAGTAAAGGAGTTCTGGCCTCTGAGTCTTGACACCTGGATCCAACCCAACCCTGGGAGGAGCCTGGCCAAGTCACATGATCTCCAGAGCCTGTTTGCACTCCTGTAAAAGTGTGTGTTTGAAGGGTCCGGTGATTCCTTAAGATCATGTCCCACCCCCACACTGCAGAACAGGGACTAAGGGCCTGTATCCCTCCCAGCAACCTGGGCCTCAGCAAGCAGACAGCGTGCAGCAGAACCAGGCAGAGGCAAGAGCCCGCAGCCGCAGTGGCTCTGTAGAGTCTTGCCTGGACCTTCAGAACCCAGGAGATGGGGACAGCAAATGCCTCAGCCAGCCTGACCCTGAAGCTGGGCAGGAGGCCGGAGCCTGGGGAGCCAGAAAGTGCTGGCAAGGGAGGAAGGGACTGGCGCAAGCCTGCCATTTTAGAAATGAAGACATTCAGAAGGTGAGGTGTAGTAAGCTGAGGCCAATGTTGATTTTCCTCTCCATTTTCTTAGATACTAGCAGAGCAGAGCTGGGCTGGAGCTGATGTGTGGTAGACAGTGTGGGCTACCTGTGAGTGCCAGAGAGATCTCCATGAAGTAATACACAAGCTTGGGGTAGGTGTAGGGTTGCCAGATAAAATAAATCTGCTAAATCTAGCAACCCTAGGTATGTGAGTTTATTTGGACTCATGCAAAAAACTTCTTTCCAACCCCCTCCCACCTTTTTCTCTGGAGGGCCTTATCACCTAGAAAATTCCAATCCCTCAGGGCCACTACCCCTGCCCGATTGCTTGTCCATGGTTTGAGGACTGGACCTCTTCTCTTCTTCCTGAGGACAGTCTGTTTATGCAGACCCTGCATACCAGGTGGATCCCCTTGGTCTGAGGAGTGTGTGTAGGGGGAACAGAGGACTTTCTCCCCCAGGACAGGGGTAGTCAGACCTGCTTCCACTCTCCTCTGCTCTTAGCCAGATGGCTTGAGAGGATGGAGACCTCCATCATGAAGATTAAGTGACAAGCACCTGGTCCTGCTCTATCTTGTAGGAGCCTAGGTGAGTCTCTTCCCCTCTCTGGGCCTCTGGTTGCCCCACCCCACCCCCCTCTGAGCCTCTGGTTGTGGAATGGGAGAGTTAGATTTACACTAGATTATTCCATAGACTGGAAACTGTTAGATGAAAGAATGTATCCACCCTCACAACAATCCTGCTGAGCTACAGCTTGACCGGGCCGGGTGATCCCTCACACCCTGCTTCCAGCACTTATCTATAAGGGATCTGATTCAGCACAGTGACCAGAGAGGGTTAGATAACCCAGTTACCCCAGTAGGGGTAACACAGTGGAGGGCTAGACCATAGCTTGAGATCCAGGTGGGAGACTACACCTCTACCTACTTTCTCTCTCCCCAAGAGTCTGCAAAGTGCTCTCAATACCCTCTTCATAAGTAGCCTAGAGTGATATAGCTACTTTTAGATATTAGTGATGAAGTAGGTGCTTTTAAATCTCATTTTTACAGAGGAAGAAACAGAAGCACAAAGAGTTTAAGAAATGTATCCAAGATGACAGAGCTCGTAAATAAGCAAGGCAGGACCAGAATCCCAGCAGCCTAATTTCAGGGTTCCTGCTCTTAAGTACTAGGCAAAGCAGGAAACTGAGGCTGGGTAGGGGAAGTAGCTTGCTGACTGTCATACAGCCTTGCGACAGCTGAGGGCAGCTGGGTCTCCGGCCTCGCCTGCCGGTGCTCTGACCACTGCGCGGCGCTGGCGGGGCAGCAGCCCGTCCATCAGCTCAGTTCTTGCCCACGACCAGCGCCTACCACCCCTGTCACCGCTCAGGGTTGAGATGGGCCCAGTCTACTGGTGGCTGGGTTCCTGGCCAGGGGAGAAAGAAGCCTAATGGGCTGGGCAGAAACCCGGCTGGTAAGAAGAAGGGCACAGGACCAACCTTGTGTGCACGGGCTCTTGAGAGACGAGGCAACGCTGGCCTGGGGCTGAGGTCAGGGTTCACTGAGGAAGGTGTCTGTCGGGGTCCTGTGGCCGGTCCGTAGAGCCTACAAGTCCGGCCAGAAAGGGGGAGCAGCCCTGCAGTGCGACTGGGGGTAGGGAAATGGAGCGAGGGATTCTTGGACCCACGAAGAGACACCCAGACAAATGCAGGGTTTCCACAGGAAACAAGGCAGAGATTCACCGAAGGCGAGAGACACAGAGTCACAGAGCCAAAGACAAACGGACACCCGGACTGAAAAGGGCGGGGTGCAGGCAAACTCAGAGCGATGGATCGGTCCGCGCTCCCGGAATGCGGCCAAAGCGCCGCACAGAAGCTTCGGGGAGAGGGCGACGCGCTCCCCGGGTCTCCCCGCACACACTCCTGCGTCCGGGGTCCCGCGCCGCGGCAAGAGGATGTGTGGCGGGGTCTCGGCTTTGGAAGGGAGGAGAGGGGCGCAGCCGGAATCTCTCACCTCTCCGAGGCCCGAGGCTGAGAGCGCCAAGTTTGCTCCTCGCGGTCACTCAACTGCGTCTCCCCTTGGGCCGGAAGCCGCTTGGGATCCGGCGGGCCCAGCTCCGGCGGCTTAGGTCGGGCCGTCTCAGGCTCCCGCTCGAGCTCCAACTGCGCTTCGGCCTTGGTGGCCCAGGGCGCTGCCTTGGGTAGATGAAGGGTGGGGGCTGTCGCTACTTCTCCCGGCTCCGTTTGGCGCCCGCGTGGACCTTAACATCCAGGGGCTCAGCGCACTGGCTCCAGGCGGCGGCTCCGGGGAGCGGAGCGTTTGCGGGATCTGCGGGCAGAGGAGGACCCGCCTCCAGCCACCCGAGCCAGCTCCCGCCGCGGCAGCTGTTTGTTCCCGCCGGGCCCCTCCGCCGAGGCAGTCCGCCCGCCCCCTCCCGCCCCGCCCCACCCCGCTCGGGGAGCTCCGCCCCGGGTTCGCGCTCTTCCGCCTTAGGCAGCCGCGAGGCGGGAGGGACTAATTCCCCTACCCCCCCATCCCGGGGGCACTGGGGGCCGACACCAGCCAGGGTCAGGGGAAGCCTCAGCTCCTTCCGCCCACGCCCCGGGTGCAGGCGCCCGGCTCCGGCTCCCGGGGCGGCGGAGAGAGCAGCCAGTTGGGTGCTCACCGAGAGGTGAGAGCGGCGAGTTAGGCCACGAGGGGGCGCTGCGGAGCTGGGGGACACCCCTCCCTCCCCGCCTCAGTCCCCCGCCCCCTCCCCGCCCGCGCGCAAAACACACTCGCCCCAGAGGCAGCGCGGCGGAGCCCGAGCCGCGGCCGGAGCGGAGCCGGAGAACGGCGGTGGCGGCGGCGGCGGCGGCGGCGGCACCATGACCCTGGGCAGCTGCTGCTGCGAGATCATGTCCTCCGAGAGCTCCCCGGCCGCGCTGTCCGAGGCCGACGCAGACATAGACGTGGTGGGCGGCGGCGGCGGCAGCGGTGGGGGGGAGCTCCCTGCCCGCTCCGGGCCCCGCGCCCCCCGGGACGTGCTCCCCCACGGCCCCGAGCCTCCTCCGGAGGAAACCGAGGCGGATGCAGCCGAGGACGAGGAGGAGTCCGGCGGCTGCTCGGACGGCGAGCCCCGCGCTCTAGCGCCCCGGGGGGCGGCGGCCGCAGCGGGAAGCCCCGGGCCAGGCGCGGCGGCGGCCCGGGGTGCGGCGGGGCCCGGGCCGGGACCGCCGTCGGGGGGCGCGGCGACACGGAGCCCGCTGGTGAAGCCGCCCTACTCGTACATCGCGCTCATCACCATGGCCATCCTGCAGAGCCCCAAGAAGCGCCTGACGCTGAGCGAGATCTGCGAGTTCATCAGCGGCCGCTTCCCCTACTATCGGGAGAAGTTCCCTGCTTGGCAGAACAGCATCCGCCACAACCTCTCGCTCAACGACTGCTTCGTCAAGATTCCCCGCGAGCCGGGCAACCCGGGCAAGGGCAACTACTGGACGCTGGACCCGGAGTCGGCCGACATGTTCGACAACGGCAGCTTCCTGCGGCGCCGCAAGCGCTTCAAGCGGCAGCCACTACCGCCGCCGCATCCACACACGCACCCTCATCCGGAGCTGCTGTTGCGTGGCGGGGCTGCGGCAGCGGGGGACCCCGGCGCCTTCCTGCCGGGCTTCGCCGCTTATGGCGCCTACGGTTACGGCTACGGCTTGGCGCTCCCGGCCTACGGCGCACCCCCACCGGGCCCGGCCCCGCACCCGCATCCACACCCGCACGCCTTCGCTTTCGCCGCCGCCGCCGCGCCTTGCCAGCTGTCGGTACCCCCAGGCCGCGCCGCTGCTCCTCCACCCGGACCTCCGACGGCCTCAGTGTTCGCGGGCGCAGCCTCGGCTCCGGCCCCTGCGCCTGGCCCGGGCACAGGGTCGGGCCCCGGCCCCGCAGGCCTGCCCGCCTTCCTGGGCGCCGAGTTGGGCTGCGCCAAAGCCTTCTACCCCGCGTCGCTGAGCCCTCCCGCAGCCGGCACCGCGGCTGGTCTGTCTACCGCACTCCTGCGCCAGGGCCTCAAGACGGACGCGGGCGGTGGTGCGGGCGCGGGGGGCGCCGGGGCCGGGCAGAGGCCTTCCTTCTCTATAGACCACATCATGGGCCACGGTGGCGGCGGGGCAGCACCCCCGGGCGGAGGCGAGGGCTCCCCGGGATCGCCTTTCGCAGCGGCGGCGGGTCCTGGGGGTCAAGCCCAGGTCTTGGCCATGCTGACTGCCCCAGCCCTGGCTCCAGTGGCCGGCCATATCCGCCTCTCGCACCCTGGGGACGCGCTCCTGTCCTCAGGGCCCCCGTTTGCCAGCAAAGTCGCCGGCCTCAGTGGCTGCCACTTCTGACCACGTCGAGCTCAGGGCCGGTAAGGCCCGCACTCAGCCTCTCCCGGGAGCTCCTGCGGTCCCAGCGGAACTCAGGGAGTCTATTTATGAAGAGTCTCCAGACCTTGGGCCGGCGCTCGTGACTTGGCACTTCAGGCTCCACGCTCAGAATTTTGCTGATAGTTGGGACGAAGCGGGCTCCATCGCTCAGGGAGAGGCCCAGGTCTATGCGATGAAGTCGCAAGCCATGATCCCACTCCAATATGAGCAGTAAAAAGGGTGGGGGGGGGAACCTTCACTTTTTCCCAGCCTCTGCGCCTCTCAGAGGCCCGGGAGGAATGCTTTCCCGGAGAAATGTCTGCCCAGGCCCTGCAGATTCTGCCAGAAACACCAACTGCGCAGAGAGGTCTCCCTTTCTGCCTTCTCCCTCACTCCTTCCCCAACTTTGAGGCACTGCTTGCCCAATATTATAATTTAAAGATACCTATTATCCGCTTTGTGCTTAAAAGAAATTTTCAACTTTTTTTTCTTGCTGTTCTCCAAGGAAGTTCGTTTTCTCTGAAGCCTAAAGCAGTGTCTACACAAGCGAAGTTGAACAGAGAGGTTGAGCGAGGGGCCTCCACAACGCCGGTAGAAACCCCGGATCCCACCACACTGAGGAACATCCTCCCTCTTTTGTGTTGGGGTGCTTTTGAAGGAACTTTTCCCCTTTCCCATGGCCGGCTGGGTCCAGCCATCCAGGGCCAGCGGCCCTCTCAGTGCTCTACTCTGTCCCAGGCCCTGGGATATTTATTGTAGCTAAAGGCAATGAGGTTGGGGTGGGAGAGGAGGGTCTGTGTCAAGGACTGGAGAGGTGGGGATGGGGTGGGCGAGAGCACATCCTGTGGCAGGGGGTCCTGTAATTATGTGTAAATATCTGTACAGCGGGCTGCTATCTGCGTTCTCTGTCCACTGGGTGTGCATTGATTTAGACTTCTCTGTGAAATCGTCCGACGGTTTGTGTGGAAGAAAAGAAAAATCTGTCTTCCCCCCCATTCCCATTGGTGTCAGTTGAATAAATGTATGTGAACTCCAGCAGTCACCAGCTCTGTCTGCTTGCCTGCACTGCCCTTTCCCAGTCGGGGCTCTCCTAGACACCCAGCTCCCGGGTAGAGAGGAAGTGGGGAAGGGCCCTGGGCAGCCCGGACAGGTAAAGGAGGGCTTGGGCTTACTGGATACAGGGAATATTGTGACCTCGGCTTTTGGCTGTTGATGGGGCCAGGACTCTGGGAAGCCTGTGACCCCTGTAGCACTTTCATTTTCGCTCTGGTCCTAAATGTCTGCCTGGGGTTCTACAGAGAGGTTTTGTTTCAAATGCACCTGGGGATTCTCATCTTCTGGTTTAGACTTTAGCGTGGCAGGGGCTTATCTGGGTGCCCAGTGCTCATGGACACTGTATCCACTAAGTACAGTTTGAGTGAATGTGTGTCCTGATGCATATTCTGTATGCCTCTGTGTGCGGAGGCTTTCATGGAGCTTGTGGTTCCTGTTTGTGTTTCTGAGGGTCATCGTGTATCCTTGCTTTTTGTCCTCCTTTGGGGTGGGGAGTGAGTTGTGTTTTAGGATATCTGCATTTTTATTTCTTTGTGTGTTCATGAATGTGTGTCTCTATGTGATTCTCTGTCACTGTCTTTTTCTGGGTCCTTAAGAGGAGAGAGACCTCTCTTTAGCCACTGTAGAGCCCTTTTTAGACCCCCCCCCCCGTTGCTGTGGACAGGTTGGAACGAAAAGATTGAATGCTGGGGTGGGGGGGGGGACTGTGAAACCCTTCTCTCCTTTGGCCTGAGAGGATTAGAAGTGCACTATGAGCCAAAGGAGAGAGGCAGTGCGGTCCTACTCTGTTAAGGCAAACCGTTCCAACCCTTGAGCCATGCTCACAGCCAGAACCTACTGCCGGAGTGCAAAACCATCGGGAGTTATGGCTGGAGCCTTCCATAAGCCCACTGAGTCTCCCAGCTTGCTGCCTGTGCCTGGGACTCCAGCTGGCCGGACTCAAGAGCATGTTGGGCGGGAGGGGACGCTTTGGGTGGAACAAAGATGGTTACTCAGCTCTGTTCATTCAACGGAGGACATAGGAAGAGAAGGAGAAATGTGGAGGTACAGAACGAGGCATTTTAGCCATTGCTGGAAAATAGACACATGCTGAGGGCGAGTGTTGGGCTAGAGTGACAGAGAGCGAGAAGGAGGAAGACAGGGTCAGGGAGCCAGCTTTGGAGAACTTGAGAGGGGCAGTCAGGGAGAAGCCCCACAGGCCTCTTTAGCTAGATTCCCAGGCATTAGCAGCAGGAAAGGAGGAGGAGGTAAGAGGACTGAGTGCCCTAAGGGAGGAGGGTCAGAATCAGGATCCGGGTAGGGAGAATGCACCAGGGCTGAGGAACAGTGGTTGCAACTCCTAAGTCTCTTAGCTGATTCCCCAACAGAGGAGAGACAAGGTTGGAGGCGCAGGTAGTAAGTGTAGCCCCTTTGCCAGAGGCGAGGTGCTCTCTCTTCCATCTCCTTGAGAGACTGTAGGAGGGTGGGGAGGTCAAATGCAGTGGGCCACCTTCCCATGATTTTATCAAACAGTCGACGAGGAGTAAGGTTAGAGTTAGTGGTAGAAAGGGAAATGCCTGCTGAAACTGGGATAATGGCTCTGGCGGGCTGCTTGGTTGACTTCCGTTGTTGAGTTTGATTTCATTCCTTTTCATTTGAGGAAGGTGGAACATGACCGTGTGCGTGTGTTTGCCCTCAATAAAGCATTTTGTAGCTTATGTGATCTCATTTACCATGAATATATCACTCCCAGATAATAGGTTGGAGCTTCAAGTAAAAGATTTATCAGTTGGTTTTTCCTCTTTAGAAGAGAGAAAATTAAGTCAGCCAGAATTCATATCTGCTGGTGGATAGGCAGATGAGATACTGCCTCAGTTGCTATTTCCAGGAGAAGCAGCAGATCCTTCTGGACTCCTCAGTGTGTGTTTGTGAAGTAAATGTGTGTGTGTAAATTCATCTGAGCATGTTGCTTGTATCTATATGTGTGTCTTCCATATCAGAAAGAGGTAGAAATAAGAGGATCGGGCAAGAGTGAGATACACCCTTCCAGGGGCTTCTAAGAAGCTTGAGGCCCCAGACCCGTGACTCAGATGCCAGTTTCCCTATGGGTCAAGAAGGCCAGATCTGGCTCAGATTATGGCTGAGGACTGGGAGCCACAAAGAAGCCACAGATGCCCAACTGGCCTTGAAAAATACAGAAAAAGAATTGCTGAGAGATCTGTGCTACTGAAGGCAGGGGAGAAGGGAGGGTCTTTAGAATTTGAGATTCCTTTCGGTTGTGTGGGCCCAGAACCTGTAAATTAGGTGGCAAGGACCCACCTGGGACCTGGACTGTAGGGAAGAACAAGAAGGATGAGAGGATTGCAGATTTGTATGGTAGAGCCCTCTGTCCCGACCCCCAACACCTCCAGACCAGAAGGACTCTAAGTGGTTCCTTCCTGCCCTGTGGGTGCAAAGGGTGGGTGTTCAGTGTAAGGTGGCTTCCTTAAGAGACCAGCTCACTGTGGGGAGAAATGGCCATCCCATCTGGAGCAGCTTCTGTGGGTTCCCTTCCTGTTTGGGTGGAGACAGCTGAGCCGCTACCCCCACAGGCCCCAACAATCGGTGACAATAAGAAAATATCCAGGGCACACCTTCATCTCTCGAGGTGAGAAAAAAAAATGCTGAGAAATCGGCCTGGGGTTCAGAGAGTGCTGTTGAGAGCGGGCAGTTTAAAGGGGAAGAAAATTGGCGAATTTCACTGGTCAATTTCACTTCATTTCGTTCAATTTCGTTCAATTTCATTCCTTTTCATCCGGCGCCGGGAGGCCCGAGGCCACAAGGAGGGGGATGGGTCTTTCCGGACAGAATTTACCCCATCTTGCAGATTTACTTTCTATGGCTGAGAACAGCCTTGATTCTCAAACTTTGACATACGTCTTTCAGCCACGGCTAGGGGCAGGGATTTTATTTTACCGAAGGGCATTTGGTTTGGGTGATCGAGGCACATCGGTGAACCTCTCCCTACTTCTCTCTTGCAGCCCAATTAAAGTGGTTAATTCTTTTCACCGCCGATTCCTCCCCATCTTTCTTTTCTCCTGGGGCTCCCCGGACCACCCAGGAGCCGGAGTTGAGGTGGGGGCGGACACTTCCCCTCCATATCCAATTTGTTCTCGCCACAGCGGGCGCGTCTTCGTGGTTACAAAGCGCTTTTCCCCTGATGACTTTTTTCCCCTTTTCAAAAACACTTCTCTCTCTCCCCTTCAACTAGCAACCCTCCCCAGGCCCACCCCTCCTCCCTCTCCGCTCGGGTTTATTTAAACTTCGCCTCCTCCAGAGCCGCCGTAGCGCGCACTTAATGAAGTTGAAGGCTCGGTGAGCCCGGGTGAAGAGGGTTTGGAATCCGTTGAAAGGGGCGTTTTTGTGACACTGATTGGGGCGGGGGTGGGGGCGGTCGCGGACCAGACAATGACCGATCAGGCGGGTTTTCCTTCGCATAGGGTCAGGCGAATAAAGGCGCCGACGCTGTTTAAACGAGGGACCTTGCAAGAGAAAGGGAGAAAAGATTTTGAGTGTGGAGCGTGCCTCGTAGGATTTCGAGCGGTTGGAGCAGGCAGCTCGCGTAGGGTTTTTACGGACCGGATTCGGAATTTAATTCATACCCCGCGCGTACCGCCAAAGAGAAGAAGCGAGTTTGGGTTTGTGCGTAAATGATTACGATACGTGGTTCCAAAGGTTGTCTAGGCTAAGGACTGGAGATGTGTCCAGGAGGACCAACCGGGATGATGAGACCCAGCTCATATTTGTCCTCGGGGCTGGCGCTCTGAGATTTATGGAGAAACTGTGAAAGAGACCTTGAGGCGGGCAGAGGTCCTCCAGGATAATTCAGCCTCCTAAGCTTTGCGTCTATCAGGGTATTTGAGAGCAAAACAAATGTTAACTGGAGTTTCGGAGCCTGATGATTCTGTTCT